GCAGCGCTCGGCCCCCTAGCCTTTCCTAGTCGCAGCATTCGATCCAGAAAGTGTCCTAACCTAACCCTGAATGAGTAAAAAATAAATATTAGCTTTTTTGAAAAAAAAGTTAAAATCAAGTACAAATTCGACTGGAGGGGGGGGTCCAAAATCTCTAACTGGGACGGACCCTGTTACTAAACATTTAATTTTTATTTAAGGTTTTAAGGGCCCTCCAGTCAAAGATATCAAAAGAGAAGTAAAAGCTGCAAGTTTTCAAGCTAGCACAAAAGCTCGGGACTGGAAAACTTTAGGAAATTGAAGAATAACATAAACTTGCAGATTCTGATATAATTTTTGTATTGTGTGACGTAACATCTGATGATAGCTGGTAACTTTTCAATAACAGATCTGAGAATTTGAAACAGTTGAAATGAGTCCTCTGTCCTTTAGTAACACAAAATAATGCTTGAATGATCAATGTACTAAGTTAAAAAAGCATTTGAATCTTAAAAANCTCTCTCCTCAGAGTTTATATATCAAATAAGTATTCTCCGATTGTCAGATCAAAGCTTGGAAAGTGCTTTCACAAAAGGTAGGAAACCCTTCCGATAACATTAACTTAAATTTAAACTTTTAATTTTAATTTTGTACGCCGTTCAATCTATACATAAATTTGGCTTTTCTGTCTGTTTGGGTGTCTGTATGTTTGTTTGTTTGTATCTAATAAACGTCAAAACGGCTGAACCGATCGGGCCAAAAAAATTTGTGGGACATCACGTGAACACAGGGAAGGTTTATGAACGATAAAGATTAAAAAAAATGTGTTTTAGAGGTTATTAATTTTGTAAAAAAAAAAAAATTCTTGAAAATCCGCCAAAAAATGTTCTTCTTTGTTTTAAAATGTTAACAAAAAGAACATGTTCACAATTTAAATGGAAGATGGGCGCGAAGCGCCCTAAAAGCCTAGTTATTTTATATTCTCATCAGATTGACTAGAATCAATAAAAAAAAAAATTTCTTCAAAAATTTAAAACAAAAAAATCTATAATAACCAGACATACGTTGACCCTCCATTTATTTAGTGGCATATTCAATTCACAACGGTACTCATTAGAGATTTCTTTGATGAGGGATGAATTAAAAATCCTTTTTTATCTGGAAATTGTCGATTTACGATTGTGGGTTCTTTTTACATAAACTTGCGGTTTTGTGTGCAGGAAATTGAAGTAATAGTTACCGGTTTGAATCATATATAATGCCCTCCTATAGGAGGAGGAGCACTTGAAGTTATTCCCACAGTCTCCTTAATTCCTTGCTAATGCTTCCATTGTGACTTAGTTTTCTGTTCTAGATACTGTTACAACAAACTCCTTTCTGAGCCCAGTAGTAGGAGATATCGGAGCATTTTTTCATCAATCTGAACCCTATTCATCATCGGTAGGCAATTCATATTTTTTCATTAACCTGAACCCTATTCATCATCGGTAGGCAATTCATATTTTTCCGAAGAATAGAAAATATAATGCCTAATCCTATTTAAAAATGCTAAACTTCATTTTTTTACCACAAAGACTATATATTGGAATTGATACTTTTATTCCAAAACATGAATTGAGTGAGAGGACACAACTTAATAATATTTTCTCATACTGACANACCCTATTCATCATCGGTAGGCAATTCATATTTTTTCATTAACCTGCACCCTATTCATCATCGGTAGGCAATTCATATTTTTTCATTAACCTGCACCCTATTCATCATCGGTAGGCAATTCATATTTTTTCATCAATCTGAAGCCTATTCATCATCGGTAGGCAATTCATATTTTTTCATTAACCTGGACCCTATTCATCATCGGTAGGCAATTCATATTTTTTCATCTACATGGACCCTATTTTTCATCACCAGTAGGCAATTAATTTCATACAAGCAAAAATCGACTTTATTTTAAAACAAAACGGTTATTTCTATGACCTTGCATGAGATTGCATTTTGACAAAAATTATAGAATAAGTGAATAGAATTGATTCAATGTTAACACTCATTTTAGTATTTATCTATAAACTCTTATTGCATTTTCTTCATTACGATTTAAACTTTGATGATTTTTTTTTCTATTTCTGTGCCTCTTTCCTTCAGAAAAAAATGCAAACAGATGAACTCTTAACACAAGTTTGTGGGGTGTTATAATGTATAAAGATTATTAAAATTGTATTATAAAATCAATCTCATTTTGTTTAGATTGGAAATGTCCCAACTGCTGCGGGTGGTATTTCTTCTGGAAATGGGACTGATGATGATGATTGGGGAGATTTTCAAACTGTTCCATCTAATAATGGTCCAGCATTCTCAAATCCTGTTCCAGCTTTCTCTAATCCCGTTCCAGCTTTCTCTAATCCTGTTCCAGCTTTCTCTAATCCTGTTCCAGCTTTCTCTAATCCTGTTCCAGCTTTCTCTAATCCTGTTCCAGCTTTCTCCAATCCTATTCCAGCTTTCTCTAATCCTGTTCCAGCTTTGTCTAATCCTGTTCCATCTTTCTCTAATCCTTCTTCAGTTTCCTTTAATCCGTTTCTTGCTACCTCTGAATCCGTTCCGGCCACCTCTAATTCTGTTCCTACTTTTATAAATCACGTTTCAGCTCCCTTCAATCCTGTTTCAGCTTTCTCCAACCCTGTTCCATCTGTTACAGTTTCATTTCCTACCAATATTTCTCAGTCATTTGCCCCCGCCTCTTCCCAGTCTGTTGGAGCTCTTCCTGGTTCTCTTTACGCCGACATCCAGGTTTATATTTTATATTTTGTGTAATTTAATTAGTCTTACACTTCTTTTTCCTCGCCTCTTTCATTGGAAAAATTTTTTGAGAATTGCTCAATGATAAGGGCGGATATTTCAAACCTCGACCTAATAAAGATGACAGGATTATAATGTTATTGGATTCATTCATTTAATCTTTTGATATTTGAAATTTGTGTTTGGGAAAAAGATTTAATGCTTTACCTTTGTGTTTTATCTATTTCTCAACCTCCGTACTAACAACATTTAATAACAACTTTCGTTCAGGTTCCACGTGAGAGTGTTGGATGTCGTCTTGCATCTTTCCAGGAGGAGAGTCCAGTCCACAGGTTTAAATCTGCAACTAAACCTCAACCAGCACAAGATGATGACTTTGGCGATTTCGCGGATTTTCAATCTGCTCCGCCCGCCATTCAAGTAAATCTAACAGCTTCTCAATCAGCTGTTTCTCCTAGCAGTTTAGCCTCCGGGGACAAATACAGTGCGCTCAGGGACATATTCAGTGTTCAGTCTGACGTTCTTAATTCATCATCAGAGAATCTCATTCTAAATCCTCTTTCTGAGAATATAAATCCAACCGTAGCTGCTGCTAATACTTCTAACCAACCTGATATCTTCCTAAATCCTTCAAAGGAAAATATTGCCAACACATCATCTGAAAATCTACTAAATACATCACTAAACCCTTCCATATCATCTGAACCAAGTGTGAACCAAATTTCTGGAGCTTATGAGGACTTCTGGTCTATTCCTCCTGAGTCCCTTAAGTCTGTTGTTCCTCAAATCGTTCCTTGGACACAACCTAGCACCGAAGACGATTTTGGAGATTTTGCGGATTTTTCCGAACCTCCTTCCAAACCAGTTTCCCTGCCCAGAGGTCGAGAGGAACAAAGTTCGCTTGATTTTGATGAATGGAGTTTACCCGTTTCAGAAGACTCCATTATCAGGTTCTCCAGTTTGAAAATGTTTTACCTTCGTTAGTTCATGTTTTAAGCATTAACCTGAACCCTATTCATCATCGGTAGGCAATTCATATTTTCTCATACAGACCCCAAAATAAGAACAATTTGCTGTCAAAATTACAGTTTAATTAGAATATAAAAAAGGGATGTTAGCTTGACTTAATGTACCTGAGAACGGGTTATTGATGGTTGTCGGGGTGACAACCGGTCATACCCCGAGTGTTGGTCAAAGGAAGACGACCGGCCTAAACTGTATTCATTCATTATACGTCAGTGACCGATTTAATTCCTCTAATAGTAATAAGAAATATAAATTTGTTTAAATTAATTTTAAAATAGCGAATTATTTATAATTTTAGTAATGAGGAAGATCCACCCCCAGCTGACGGTCCAGTTTATTCTAATCCAGATTCCAGATTCCAGATTTGAAAATGGACGACAGCTTTTGAGGATAACAGCTGTCAAAATTATTGTGTTGACAGCTGCTGACAGCTGTTGAAAACCGTGCAGACAGCTGCCAAAAAAACACTTAAGCACTTATGTACATTTGATTCATCTAAGTAATCGGTTTTAAAATTTGAATGAGGGAAAATTTAAAAAATAATTGAATTAACAAAACTTTCAGGAAAAAAATATTTACAAGTGCCGCGGTTTATTCTTTACTTTTGTCCGCTGTTGATCTCTGTTCTAATGTATAACTCCGAGACTTTTGCCGCAATTAATAAATTATTTTCTATTTACATTTTACAATTAAAGTTTTTTAGTATTGGTAAATTTGACGAAATCACACGAAGAATAGAAAATATAATGCCTAATCCTATTTAAAAATGCTAACCTTCATTTTTTTACCACAAAGACTATATATTGGAATTGATACTTTTATTCCAAAACATGAATTGAGTGAGAGGACACAACTTAATAATATTTTCTCATACTGACAGATTTCTACGATGTCTGGAATGAGAGGTGGAGGTGGTGGGAAGCTTGAAGATTTAATGATGGCGTATGCGGATTTGAAGGCCCCCTCTAAAAGTTCAGGTTTTTAAACGCAACAACCGCAAAACTGATTGCACGAATTTATCTCTCTGAGGATATTAAAGCGACGATATTTTTCTTATTGTAACTCAGATAAAGATCATTTAAAATAACAACGACAGTCCCTTAAAATACGAAGCTATTGATGTATGTTTAGTCCGCCTGGTTTTTCTTCTAGTCCTCCTTCAACTACTTTAGAGTTCCAGCTCCCATCAGAACAATTCCAGCTCACTGATCAGGTGTGTCACATGTACTTTGTATTATATCAGGTGTGTCAAGTGTACTTTGTATTGTATTAGGTGTGTCAAGTGTACCTTGTATTATATTAGGTGTGTCAAGTGTGTTTAACTTGTTTTATATTAGGTGTGTCAAGTGTACTTTGTATTCTATTAGGTGTGTCATGTGTACTGTGTATTGTATTAGGTGTGTCATGTGTACCTTGTATTCTATTAAGTGTGTCACGTGTACTGTGTATTATATCAGGTGTGTCATGTGTACTGTGTATTGTATTAGGTGTATCAAGTGTACTGTGTATTTATATTAGGTGTGTCAAGTGTACTGTGTATTATATTAGGTGTGTCAAGTGTACTTTGTATTATATCAGGTGTGCCAAGTGTACTGTGTATTTATATTAGGTGTGTCACATGGACCTTGTATTGTATTAGGTGTGTCAAGTGTACTTTGTAATGTATCAGGTGCGTCACGTGTACTGTGTATTGTATTAGATGTGTCACGTGTACTTGGTATTATATCAGGTGTGTCACGTGTACCTTGTATTGTGATAGGTGTGTCACGTGTACTGTGTAATGAATCAGATGTGTCACGTGTACCTTGTATTGTATTAGGTGTGTCACATGTACTGTGTAATGAATCAGATGTGTCACGTGTACCTTGTATTGTATTAGGTGTGTCAAGTGTACTTTGTATTATATTAGGTGTGTCATGTGTACTGTGTATTATATTAGGTGTGTCATGTGTACTGTGTATTATATCAGATGTGTCACGTGGACCTTGTATTGTATTAGGTGTGTCAAGTGTACTTTGTATTATATCAGGTGTGTCAAGTGTACTGTGTATTTATATTAGGTGTGTCAAGTGTACTGTGTATTATATCAGGTGTGTCATGTGTATTGTGTATTGTATTAGGTGTGTCAAGTGTACTTTGTATTGTATCAGGTGTGTCAAGTGTACTTTGTATTATATTAGGTGTGTCAAGTGTACTGTGTATTATATTAGGTGTGTCAAGTGTACTGTGTATTATATCAGGTGTGTCATGTGTACTGTGTATTGTATTAGGTGTGTCAAGTGCACTGTGTATTATATTAGGTGTGTCAAGTGTACCTTGTATTGTATCAGGTGTGTCAAGTGTACTTTGTATTATATTAGGTGTCTCCCGTGTACTTTGTATTGTATCAGATGTGTCATGTGTACCTTGTATTGTATTAGGTGTGTCACGTGTACTGTGTAATGAATCAGATGTGGCATGTGTACTTTGTATGGTATCAGGTGTGTCAAGTGTACTGTGTATTTATATTAGGTGTTTCCCGTGTACTTTGTATTGTATCAGATGTGTCACATGGACCTTGTATTGTATTAGGTGTGTCACGTGTACTGTGTAATGAATCAGATGTGGCACGTGTACTTTGAATTGTATTGGGTGTGTCAAGTGTACTGTGCATTTATATTAGATGTGTCACGTGTACCTTGTATTGTATCAGGTGTGTCAAGTGTACTTTGTATTGTATTAGGTGTGTCATGTGTACTGTGTATTATATCAGGTGTGTCACGTGTACCTTGTATTGTATCAGGTGTGTCAAGTGTACTGTGTTTTTATATTAGGTGTGTCAAGTGTACTGTGTATTTTATCAGGTGTGTCAAGTGTACTGTGTATTATATCAGGTGTGTCAAGTGTACTTTGCATTATATTAGGTTTGTCAAGTGTACTGTGTATTTATATTAGGTGTGTCAAGTGTACTGTGTATTTATATTAGATGTGTCAAGTGTACTGTGTATTATATTAGGTGTTTCCCGTGTACTTTGTATTGTATCAGATGTGTCATGTGTACCTTGTATTGTATTAGGTGTGTCACGTTTACTGTTTAATGAATCAGATGTGGCACGTGTACTTTGTATTGTATCAGGTGTGTCAAGTGTACTGTGTATTTATATTAGGTGTGTCACGTGTACTTTGTATTGTATCAGATGTGTCACATGGACCTTGTAATGACTCAGGTGTGTCAAGTGTACTGTGTATTTATATTAGGTGTGTCAAGTGTACTGTGTATTATACCAGGTGTGTCAAGTGTACTTTGTATTATATCAGGTGTGTCAAGTGTACTGTGTATTTATATTAGGTGTGTCACGTGTACTGTGTAATGTATCAGATGTGTCACGTGTACCTTGTATTCTATAAGGTGTGTCACGTGTACTGTGTATTATATCAGGAGTGTCACGTGTACTTTGTATTGTATTAGATGTTTCACGTGTACTGTGTATTATATCAGGTGTGTCACATTTACTGTTTATTGCATAAGGTGTATAATTTGTACTGTGTGTACTGTATTGTTTCTTGTCTGTGTACTATTTAGATTGAGGACCCGGGGTTGTCCAGGTTTCAGAAGCACTTTGCAAACCCATGATAAAAAGATTTTATAAACTGTTGTTATGAAAGAAGCGTATTAAAAACTGTTAAGAAAAAAATATTAAGAAACTGTTGGAAGGAAAGAAGCATATTAAAAACTTTGTTAGGAAAGAAATGTAATAAGAAACTGTTAGGAAAGAAACATATAAAGAAACTATTAGGAAAGAAATATATTAAGAAACTGTAAGGAAAGAAATATATTAAGAAACTGTTAGGAAAGAAATATATTAAGAAACTGTTAGGAAGGAAATATATTAAGAAACTGTTAGGAAGGAAATATGCTAAGAAACTGTTAGGAAAGAAACATATTAAGATACTGTTAGGAAGGAAATATGCTAAGAAACTGTTAGGAAAGAAACATATAAAGAAAATGTTAGGAAAGAAACATATTAAGAAACTGTTAGGAAAGAAATATATTAAGAAACTGTTGTTATGAAAGAAGCATATTGAGGAAGAAATGTCACATAAAAACGTAATAAGATACTTTTTTCAAAAAGAGTGTATTTAGGAACTGTTTGGAACGTGTGTTGTGAATAAAAAGAATAAGGTTAGTGATGCACCCTCCAGCCTGAAAGATGTTATTTCTCTTCAACTAGCGAATAAGGTTCCATCATATTTTAATATACAATATCAGTAATTTCCCAAATTATACCATAAAAAGTCTAGAATTATTAATATTTATCGGATCGGATCCGGGATCTCAAAAAATGAAATATAAAACCCGGATTGGAAAAATATTATTTCAAATGCATTGTGTAAGAAGGAGGGGGCAATTCGACACTTTGTGACAACAAATTTTGTAGAGGCTACTTTTGGTCCTAATAATTGAGATGGACGGCTGAAATTTTAAATGCAGCCTCTAATTGTGGTCATCTACATAGATCACGAAGAAAATTTGAGATCGGAGGTCATTGGCATCCATTTTGACCTCCATGAACTCAAAAAATACAGGAAAATACCACTTTTTTCACTCTAATTCAATTATTATAAGTAAATCAGAAATGTTTTTCTATTTTTTTTTCAAACACATAAATCATGCACTGATAAAGACACATAAATCCGACCTCCATTTTGACCTCCCCTTGATAATGATCTCCCTTCGATAGTGACCTCCAAAAATGGTTAAATATTAAATCAACAAAAATAAGTCATGTGAGGTATCACATCAATGGGTTTTTTGGTGTTCCGATTCCATTCTAATTTTAGCCTTCTATCTTAATTATTAGGACCAAACGCAGCCTGTACAAAATGGGGTGTCACAAAATGTCGAGTTGCCCCCCCCCCCTTATTAACTTCATATTGCAAGGATGTAAATATTTTTTAATGACTTTTTAATATTTTTGAAGGAGAAATTAAAAAATTGTATATCAACTGCAAGTTTTTCTTTTTTTAATTCTTAATATTGCCAAAATCAACGAAAATACACCTTTAAAAGAAATTGGCGTTTCGATTTAACATTTCTAATAAACCCGGGAAAATTTGTGTTTACCTCAGGATTATTGTTTTTATCTAGAAGGAGCTTGGCTGATTTTTATTATTTAGAAGGTTGGGTCAGATAAATTAAAACCCTCCATCAGCAATGGCGCCGTGGAGACTGAAACAGACATCGAGAAAGAAAGTCATAGATCTAAAGAAAAAGATGACATTTACCTCACACCAGGTCACTTTTTCAAGGGATTTTTAACCTATTTAGAAATTGAAAATTAGAGAAATCATATCGTTTTTCCAAAAAATTTTTTGTAAATTTTTATGCGTTTTTTTTAACTTTTTAAATTTTCTTGATGAAGCTAAAATATTTAATCGTTTTTACTAAGAATGTTAATTGTTAACAAGACTTAATTGTCTAATTTTTTTCACATTTTACATTTGAAAAGCCAATTTACATAGGATTGACAGAAGTTTGACAATGCTATACAACAGTGTGGTAACAAAAACAATGACACCCCCCCCCCCCCTCAAAGTAGATTTTTAAACCTGTCACAACATCTTTTGATGAACCCATGCACTGCACTGATGTTCACATTTGTATGTACAGAGTAAAAACCTTTTTCATTTTTTATCATCCTAATTTAGGATTACGACCATCCTCCCAATCCTCCGTATCTGTGGCCAGCCTCGACCTCGAGAACAAGCTGGAGGTCGGGGAAGAGGACAAGGAGGAAGATGTCGAGGACAAGGTGGAGGACGAAGAATGTTTTGTAGTTGATTGGATTGCGTGTCTTCAAGAGATAGATAATTTGATAGAAACCACTTCACAGATTTTTAGGTAATATAGCTTTGATAGAAATATTTGTAAACTTAGATTTTAAGTATTGTGTACTTGATTTTAAGTGTCTTGTGTAAAGACTAAAGAGTTACATGTCTGATTGACAACGACTCTATTTTATATGAGTAAACATAAGGAATATATCTGTTCTCAAATGAAGAAAAAAACGACGAAAAACTCTTTCAATTTCCTTCCTGTTCTCTGATGCACGAATCTCCAAGGGACTTTCATGGAGAAACCACAATTGAAGATTATAAGATATCACAAAGGAAAACAAGGATATCTCCTGCATTTAGGGTTTAAGTGGTACCCTTGTGAATCTTACATGTAACTCTTAAAATTGAGGGTCACTCAAAAATTATTTCAAACAATTGTTTTACATTTTCTAATGTACAAATTTTTCAACTTTTGCCCAGTGCTGAGGATCCAGATCCGCTGGATCCGTATCATTTTGGCTTCCTATCCAAGAGGAAAAATATCAACCAAAAACTTTTTTTTTAGGCAACTCTTGAGTTGCCCGGGGGTAACAAAGGGTAAAAAAATCGAAAAAAATTGTTCTTTAAAATTCTCAATTTCTTTTCAACAATATTTTTTTTTCATAATTCCATGGGCCTTGAGCTAGTTTATGTTTAGTAATATCTTGAACCCTGATATTGTGGATGAAGTTGTGAATTGCGAGGGTGGAAAAAAGTTCCTGAATAACCTCAGGGAGGTCTTTATAGTCTTCTCAAGAATACAACAGGCCGCCAAGGTTAGAATCGGATTAGCTTCTTATAAATTTTTTTTAAAAAATAGGATTCCAACAAGAAACAAGTGAAATCCTCTTTTTTCTTTTGATTGTGCTATATTGCCAAGTAATTTTGAAGCTGAACTATTTCTGAAAAAGAGTCTTAAATATCTATGAAGATACTGGGGTACCCAGAAATGATGAGACTTAAATGACGACATGATGATAAGTATTAAGGAATCTGAGGGTTGACTTTGGATTACTTACCGATTTCTTGGCTGTGTATTTTGAGAAATATCATGAGAAAATATTAGATTTTGTCAGTCGTCTCTAAACACTCAACTGTATGGAACGTAACCCTTCATAGAAGATGTTACAGTAAGATGTAAGATGCCTATAAGATGTTACAGTAAGATGTAAGATGCCTATAAGATGTTACAGTAAGATGTAAGATGCCTATAAATATAAACCCCTGAACTATTATATTAGGCTGTATTTTATTTCTCATGATTAATTATTATTTTATTTTTTATTTCAGAAAAGAGAGGAAACTGATCAAAAACTAGATGAGCTGATAAATAAAGTTAGCGCCGCGTGGAACTATTTAAAGAAACAAACAAACAATGCAGAAATTTTAGAGATGAGTGATGATCTTTTTAATCTCAATTCAGGGCTCGGACATTCCTCTGCTTGCGGGGTGTGTCTAACATCTTTATCTACTTTTGGCGGGAAAAATGGTCAAAATGGCGGTTCAAAAAATATCAATACCGCGCACTTTTCTTGCGGAGATATTGAATATCATGCAACCTGCGCTAATTTTTGGATCAATCTTGTTGATCCTGAGCTTCCTAGATTAAAGTAAATCTCTGAACAGTTTTTTTAGAATTTATTTTGTTTATAATATTTTAGCGAGGTTAAGAATTAATTTATGGTATTATTTATTTATAGTTATTTATGTATTTTTTTTATTTTACAACTCTAGACATTCCATAGATTATGTATCATGTAATAAGCTTAATTTTATGAACTTCTTATCAGCTAATAAAATGATATTATTGTTGTCAAGTTTGTTCATTATTGTCGTTTAACTGTGATAGATTAGTACACATTATTTGAAATTTTTTATCTATTTTTTATTATGCACCATCAATTAAAAAGGTTGTAAGTTGTAAGTGTAATTTCAAATGACCCTCCATGCAAAAATGGTAATGCCTGATTTACTATTGTACTCTTGAAAGAATGTAGCATATATGATATCGTTGTTCTTGGTTTAGAAGTGTTTAATTCCTAAATGTTTTCCTGCAGTGCAAATGTGCACAAGTCACTTTTGTAAAGACACTACAAAAGAAAATAATCCGTTTTCAAAATAATAAACAAAGATATCTAATTTAAACTTGACCAGACAAAGCTTTCAAGGGTACCGTTGTGAACCAGACCTTGTCATCTTTGCACTGAGGCTCACTTGAACTTACCCTTATATTCCATTTAAAACATAATGCAAGGTTTTATTTAATTTCGTAACACTATATCTCAATGACTAGGACACAACAAGGTTTTTTTTTGGTCCATAAAAGATGACTAAAACTTGGTGAAATGTATTTAAAATATCCCAAATGTAGGTAGCGCATCCTAAGGTCTGAACTTATGAATGAGATTAATTATAACGCAAGAACCCTATATCCAAAGCGGAGAATTGAAATGCTTATGTGTTTAATTCGTGAACACGCATACTCTTTTAATTTCCTAATATTTGCTCAGATAGTTTTGTTTGCAGACCGCGTAGCAACTTTGGAGATATCTTCAATATGTTTTGCAATTTTAATCATCTTTTTTTAACGGATTTTTTACCTTAAAACATCACACAGTTTGACATTCGGGAGAAAATTAAAGTTTTTTTTTTAAACAAATATTAGAAAACAATGTGTAAGAAAACAAAAAAGTTCGTTTTTTTAATGAAATACCTAAAAAGGTTTGTTTTGTAAGTTGTATAATTTTTTTTTGTAGATTTTTTAAACAATTTTCGAGTGGAGATAATTACATTAGTTTCTTTACAAAAGAATCCACTTCAAGAGTTAATGAATTAATGTTGAAAAAGAGAAAAATTCTTACTTTTTACTTTCTTATTCGTTATAATAGTATAATTTCCATATGGAAACTGGGTTTTTGTTATTGATTTTTTACGTCAACTGTTTCAAATGATTAACCTGTAACCTTGCGTTATAATTGATTTATTATAAATAATAATAAACAATGTTGTGCATTTTTTATTTTTATACAAGTAAAAAGGGCACCGTTTGATGTTTACCTTAAAGATTTATACTGGACAATAATTTAACTCTCAAATATCAATGTTTTTGGCGTGGGGGGTTTAAGAATGTCTTCTAAGATCTTATTATCTAATACTAAAAAGCTATCAAAGCTATACTCGCCTTCCCTACGAAACATGACATATAAGTGACGTCTTGAAGATCGTATCTGATCTTTGAATTAATTCATTTATTCATTAACCTATATTTTAGAAGTAACATTTAATAATAAAAATACCCCTAATTATGGTTTTTCCGGAATTTCCTGACAAATTGGTGCAGTTTTAAAAATAAAAACTTTAATGTCCTTAAACCTTCCATGTGAGTTGGCACACGGTCATGTAAGTTACCAGTCATGTGAGTTGCCACAAAAAAAGTCTTCCCCGATCTGTTCTAACATACAGACTGACAAACAAAAAAGAATAAATAATTAATCACAAGATAAAAGATGTACAGAGTGTCCCAAAAAACATGGGAATTCAGTGATGAATTCGATATCGTCTTTAATATGAAATAGCATTGTAATACCTAATTTCAAAAGCCATAATATTATTATGTCTGCTAGAGTTTATTTTATGAAAAGGGTAAAAGACTGTAAAGATGTGTCTATAATGTCTCCGCAAGATAAACAGTGAAGAAGGACAAGTTTACTCTGTTTGTTTACTGCAATTTTCTTGTTTTACTAAGTACAACCGTATGCAGTCAAAACATAAACAAACAAAATGTGAACATAGAAGACGAAACTCTTACAGATTACAACTTTCTCAATAGGTATCACTATACTAAATCAAAGAATTATTCTGAAAGACGATATCGAATTCATCACTGAATTCCCATGTTTATCGGGACACCCTGTAGATTCCATTTAGAAATATTTACCTTATTTGATAAACAACCTTATATTTAAAATATATCTGACGGGATAATTTCCACAGGGACTTTTTGTTCTCTTTAAAAAACCTGCTACTTTTCTGATATTAAAACCGTTTAAATCAGCTGCTCAAAACATCACTATGATAATTTATTTTGGTTTGCTGTGCTAAAAAGATTTTAGATTAAATTTTGATTTTTTCCCCTAACTTTCGCGAGAACAAAATATAATCTTTTTGATGTTGTTATTTGACGAATTTGACTGCACATCTATCCTCGTATTTTTTAAAAGGGAAAAAATTGGCTCAGATTATTTTTTAACTTTAAGATTAAAACTACCAAAAAAGTTGAATGACAAATCTTGCATAGTTTAGATATGAGTACGTCTATACTTTTCAATATCTTGAAATACAAGTTCTATTTCATAAGCTCAAAGAAGTTAAAAGAAACAGAAAAAACACGAAAAGCCAGAAATTTGAAGGAAAAAGCTGACCTAGATAATCCTAGAATTATACTTGAACACTGAACAGGAAGGATGGAAAGATTTTTAACTTAACATGAATACTGAAAAACTGACAGATAGATAGCGCTAAATATTTAAGAACATTTTTAATCAAAGTTATGAAAAAAGGAAAATTGGGCTAATCTACATCGTCTGAACTGGAACTTATTAAGTGTTTATTTATATATTACTCGAAAGCCTTGAAAAAGTTTGGTTTGGTAAGTGGACGGAGGGTTCAACGGAGATACAGTTTGTCGGAGACGACCTTACAATAGGGTAATTTTAGGGGTATGGTTCACAATATGTTACTTCTCATGAGAAGTACAATAATTTATCATTTAAGGTTACTCAAAAGTCAAAACCTGACAACCTAAATAACAAGAAATGTCATAAGGATTATATCGGACTTTTGCAGACTATAAGAGGAAAACAGGAATAAGCCCCATTTCTGGCAAACACAGGGACTTCGATCAGAAGGACTATTATGGTTTACGGACAGATGAGAGATATTCAAGTCCTGCTAGGAATAGGGTTTCCAAGCAGTCCAACCGGAATTCCGTTGCGCGGAATTACGCGGAATTGCGCTGTAATTGCGAAAAAGAAAGCAATTAGATATTCGCTGAATTGCGTGCATCGGAGTTGCTTTTCTATCTAAAAATCAATAATTTTAACTATTCGACTTACAAATTTATGCAGCAGATACAAGAATGGAATTAAATATATTTGTTGAATTTAAAATTTGTTCACATTGGATAAACATTAAAATGGAAACTTTTCTTGGTTAAAATTGTAAGGTTCATTTAATCAAAGTTAGATATTTTGTTACAGTGAGAACCAGAAAACTAAGGTACAGAAAGACAACTTAACATCACATTGTATTTGATGAAGTTACAAGTCAAACAAAATTAATAAGTAACTTATTAAATCACTTGTCCAGTTTCATGGGTCTACTTGCAGAGTCTAAACTGTCGTCTTCATATGCCTGAGTTTTCTGGTTATCATGCTGCATTAGCTGCATAGAATATTATAAAACAAAAGATTAAGTTTAAATTCAATTTTCTTAGCATTTGAGATTGAAATGTTAGTGAAGTTCAGTTTATTGTATACCACTACCAAAGTTTAAATTGAATATTTTGTTGTTGAAAGGAATTGCGCAATGATTAATTGCATTTTTTGCGTGCCATAAGGTTTAAATTGAATTTTATCAAAAGATTGAAACACAAACGCAAGAAAGTTGGACGGAATTGCGCGATATAGCGCGCAATTTGGCACAATTCCGTTGTTTTTATTTGCGCGCAATTATTACGGAATTTCACGCAATTTAATTCCCTTGCGCGCAAGGGTTCGCAATTGCACGCAAGTAAAATCCCCTTGCGTTAGCGTTGGAAACCCTAGCAGGAACTACTTACGATTGCACCGAGACCAACGATTAAGGAACTATATAGTTGTGAGCCGAACAAAAGGGATAATACTCGAAAGAGGGAAATAAGGCGAGTTGGCAAGGAAAACACTCTTTTCTACCAGACACAGATAGATGATAACTTCTTGAAAAAGTATATTTCAGTTACGAGGTTTCCTACAAAATACAAATTGTTATTGGCGTACATGCATATAAATAATAATTGTTAATAAAGATTGAACAGTTGAAGGTTATCAATAAATGAGTATTGAACAATTGGTTTAGAAACATGTACCATTGATAATTGAACAAAGGCTTAAAGGTATTGGAATTCTAGGTTTTGTAGGTTTAGCAGGATTGGAGATTTTAGGTTTAGTAGGTTTAGCAGGATTTGGGGATCATATTTTATTGCTGTTGTGAATCGATAAATAAAGATTGAATTTATAACCCTCCACCCCTGGATATCTTGAGTTGATTGAAACTGACATTTAATCAAATAATTAAAAATTAAAATCAATCAATAATGAGTGAAAGTGGTTTGCAATCCATGAGTGAAACTAACAAACAGCTTTTTATAGATTTGCAATCAAAAATATTGGAAAAAATGATTTAGATATTTCATGAAACATTAAAAGTTTTTTTTTAATCATTGTGAAACTGAAGTTATCTTGTAAGATCTGTAAAGAAGACAGTTTCCATCCTTTATTTTTACAATCATTGTAACACTAAAATGATTTTGTAATATCTGTAAATCTAGCCTGCACGAAGACAGCGTTAAATGTTCATCCTTATCTTATAATCATTGGTGGCAGAAATCATATTTTTAATTGCACCAGACTGATGTTCGATTAGACAGACATATATGCTTGAATATTTTTCCTGGTCCATGGGTCCAATAATGGCATGCATAGGAAATCGATCTATAATCCTTTTGATCTAAAGGCAATCTGATCTAAAAGAATCTGATCTAAGTGGACTTAGATCTAAAAAAAAATTTAGACCAAATTCCAATTCTTTCGGGAAAATTGTTGAATTTGATCTAAAATTTGGATTTTATATATTTTGTGTCAAAAATGTCATCTAAAAATGTTTATTTTTGAAAACAAATATTTTAGATCCAACTCTACATATTACAGATAAAATTCCCAAATTTTGTGCAGAAATTGTATTGGAAGTACAGAATTCTGTATTTAAAAATAGTAGAATTAGGTCTAAAAAATGTATAATCTGATCTAAAATATGAAGAATTCGATCTAAAAAATATATAATCTGATCTAAAATATGAAGAATTCAATCTAAAAAATATATAATCTGATCTAAAATATGAAGAATTCAATCTAAAAAATATATAATTTGATCTAAGATATGAAGATCCTGAACCCATGAACCCAACTCTTTCACCATTAAGGTGTCAACCTTACACATTTCTTAACTTTTAAATCTAATATTTTTAATCAAATTATAAAATTTTAGATTAAAGTCTACATTTTTTAGATTAAAGTCTACATTTTTTAGATCACAGTAAACACTTTTTAGATCAAATTCCATATTTTAAACAAATAAAGTTAAGGATTTGAAGCATAATGGTGTTAACACAAATTCAAAATATAAGGAAGACGATTTTACCAGCTCAATTGCCGTCAACTGTTTTCAAGATGTGTGTATACACACAATCCATTTCCGCAATGAAGCACACACATGTAAACCTCGCTCCTTCGTTCCCCGCCACACCCTCTACACACCCCAGCCCTCAGTCAGGTTAGGAGAGTTGGGCTGGTTCCGACACAGGGAGCCTCTTGACTCCTTCATGCTGACGATGCAAATACTGAGCTAACAGCAGGCGTGCTTATACCTCTGATCTCCCTATTAACTTCTTGAGAAGCTTACTTAGGAAACTTGTGTCCGGCTCCGACCGAAGTTTCCGCTATCTCGAGTTGCATTGCCTTAGTTCCATTGATAAGCCCTGTTGTCCCAGTTCCTGTTGATCTGCTCCACCAACATGAAGCTCTACAACACTCCCATGAAGTGCCATCAAATATCCATCATTAATTCCTTTGTTAATTTCTAAATCAACCAATTTTAACTCCGCTTTATGTGCAAATATTTCAAAACTTTCGTTTTAAATAAATGTTAGAAATATCCATGTTTAGATCTCTTTATTTTACTATAGTGACTTTTAAAGTCAAAAAATGGTTATCTGAAATATATATTTTTTTGAAAAAAAAATTTTAGATCACATTCAACATATTTTAGATCCAATTACACATATCTTAGATCAAAATCACAACTTTGGCAGAAGAAATTTTATGAAAATCTTCACTTGACAAATATATAAAAATGAACAGGGAGCTCAAATTTGAAAAAAAAATATTTTAGATCAGATTCCACATTTTTCAGATCAAATTCCAAAAATTTTCAGAAAAATGCGGACTTAGATCTAAAAAAATATTTTAGATCAATTTCCACGTTTTTTAGATTAGATCAGATTACCCTTAGATGAAATTCCTTTTGGATCAAAAGGTTCATAGATTAGTTTCCTGAACAGCCCAATAATTCTATAAAAATAGCTGAACTAATCGTGCCAAGATTTTTGTGTGAAAACTCACAAGACCCCAAGGGAAAATCTTTTTCTAATTTTCAAAAAATACTCCAAAAAAATTCCGGGTCATGGCCATGCTGTTGTTAAATGTAGGAAGAAGAATTGCTGCAGATAAATCTTGAAGAAAAAATAGATATAATTTGGAAGTGAACTACAAGTTTCAAAACGGACATTAGTGTTTGTTTTGATCTACATAAAAATAAATCTAAATGAGTTTGAGAATTATAATAAATTCTCTATTGGAATAGAAAATACTTAAAGAATAGTTCTAGATGCATTTAATCATTTTTTTTTTAAAGTTACAAATTATTTCACTTGAATCTTTATTTTATGAAACTTATTTGTAGCCATGCATACACATAAATTTTGATAAGAATTAAATTTAAATTTTTTTACATAGAAGCACGATAACTTTTCTAATTAAAGTTATAGTGTTGTCAAAAACATTGACTATAGACAACCCTAACCAAAGACCAAGAGCACTACCAAGTTCAACAATTAGGTTCCATTCATCGTAATCTGATACGCTTCTGGTTATTTCAACCAGAGGATTAAATCTTATTCTTATATAGTTTTCACCGTTTAAACTTCGTGTGGATCTTAGCTTTCTAGAGGTAATCTTAGTTTCAAGGCAGGGAACCTTACAGTCCTTAGTTTTAGGGTCTAGAGATAGTTTCAACTGTTCCCAAAAATCCTTAAGATCGTTTAAGATGGTTTCTGAGTATTGTTTGTTTACTATTCCTCGGCAACTATTAGTCGGTGACATCCATGGTATATTGCAACCAATATCTTCTTCAATTCTTCTCTGGAACGTGGTTTCTATACATTCAGCCTGCAGAGTAGGGATGGGCACGTTCTTGATTTTTTTAACCGTTTGTTCAACTTTCGTTACAGAGAGCCATTCTACATTCACTCAATTTAAAAAAAAAAACATTTAATTAACTACCGTCATAAGTGTATATCGTTAATGTTTTGGTCGTCTTTGATAAAGGTGGTTCATGTTAACGATGTGTGATCGTTAATTATGTGTGATCGTTCACGATATGTCCAAGCACGGAAATCCGAAAGTTCTGAGAAGCATTTCGGAAACAGCAGTGTCTTGATCATTTACATATGATGATCGGTAAAGGGGTTGTAAGCGTAATTTTTAAGTAGCCATCCAGACAAAAATGTTAATACCTGATTTACAACAGTACCCTTAAAAGCGTTGTCTGATCAAGTATGGAGTTAGATATTCCTGTTCATAGTTTTAAAAGCTGATTATTTGATTGATTCTTTAGATAAGTGATTTGCACATGGCATTATCAGAATTTAACTCATTTAAACCTAGAAAAACGACAATATCTTCCACATTATTAATCAGATAAAGGTTTTCAGGGTACTGTTGTGATTTGGTCATTGACTGCATCTAATTGTATGCAATTGCAGGATCACTTAAAATGACACTTACAATCATTTTAATGCAAAAAAAGAGCGCTTTAGTCAAGCAAAAACCTTTCTTTTCACATTAAATAATTTATGATTGTTCCAATAATGTTAGTTAATTTTCCACATGCTGTGATCGATGCTCGCTAATGGCAATTCCTGTTCGTTAATTAAAAATACTTTCGTTTTCCTGTTAACCGTGACCAGCCCTATACCTGGGAGAAGTATGTGCTTTCATCCTGATAATCCGTGCATTCTTCATTAGGGTTTTTTGGGTCCAATACTGTCTGCTTTACATGTATTAAGTAATCTAAAAGTAGTTTTGTTGGTTCTTTTTCGTCTGTTGCAAGATTTATTTCATCTCCAAGCATAGAAAGTGTAGACACTTTGTAGTACAGTGTTTTTGCTGGGTCTGTAACAAACATATCCACATGTCCTTTGGTGATGTTCACCATTAAAGTTTCAGAAGTGTTATAATTGTTCAATTCTTTACAGTTTCCATGGGGAATAATGAATTTTTCTGTAAAGGAAACATTGTGAACAATTATGGCATCAAAATTTGCTTTGTACAATATTTTTTTTGTTTCTTCAAAGTCCCGTCCCGCGAAGCCTCCCCAAGACAACTGTCCAGTCACCCCATCATCTAGTAGTCCACAGTAAAAGCTTGTTCTATATTTGTATCCTAAATCCCTAGCAGCAAACCAATCATACTGATCATAGCTACAAATAGTGACTGTAGGCAACACAACCTCGTCCAGTCGTTTATATTTAGTTGAGACAACTGTGGGCCTGGATATGTATTTTAAAAGTGCAGAACTCATTTGATAAACAAGTAGTAGGAAGGCAATAAACTTAAAAATATAACGAAATGTCTCCAGAAAGTTCATTGCAGAAGTGTTAACTGTGAGTCCATGGTTGACAATTAAAGACTATTGAAAATAGAAAGTTCAATACAAAGTCCCTCCATTGGTAAACAATTAATGTTTAAACAACATTTTTAATTATCGTATAATTTAGCAGCATACACGCTTATAGAAAAAACCTTCTCTTCTTCGTAATATTAAACTACCAAAATTACAGGGCTTCCCACAAAGAATGAGCCTTCCCAGACATTCGTACAGAATTTATACTATCTGTTTTTCCTGAACTTTAAACTTGTTTCTTTTTTTTTTGCATTGTCATTGAATAAGTCATACAAATATTATATTCAAGGCTGAAGATTTGATTTAACCTCTTAAGTTTAAAGAGTTTCAGGTCGTCTTTATAGTCGCATCCTTTATGGGTAACCCTGTATCTCGAAATTATGAATTATTATGGATAGTTCACACATTGTACATTTGTTATTTCGAACTAGAAGTTCGCAATTTCAAAATGCTTTCAGAACATTAGATATTACGAACATTAGATATTACGAACATTAGATATTACGAAACATTAGATATTATGAGCATCAGATACAAAGAACATTACATGCTACGAACATTAGATATTATGAACATTAGATATTACGAACATTAGATATTACGACCATTAGGAATTACGAACATTACATTTAGATGTTACGAACATTAGATATAACGAACATTAAATATTACGAACATTAGATACGAGCATTAGATATTACGAGCCTTAGATATTACGAGCATTAGATATCACAAAAATTTCATATTACGAACATTAGATATTATGAACATTAGATGTTACAAACATTAGATATTACGAACAGCGTTCTATCACAGTTTTAGAGACTAAATGTAAATTTAGACCTACTCCCTGTCATTGGATTTCAACATGACATAGCTCTTTGGAAAGCAGATCTGCAGATCTGCACATCTGCACAAACATTTTAAAAGGGAATTTGCACAATTTAAGTTTGTTTTGAATACACATTTAGGTTTAAAAAATCTTGCAAAAATTTTTGCATGTTTGAATTCGCTAGGATAAGGGCTTTTCAAAAAAGTATAATGTATAATAGTTTGCGCACTTTTTGTTTTTGCACTTGTTTTGCAAAAAAAAACTTGATTTTGTAATAAATACTTAAAATATTGCAAATTTGTAAATTTTATTTCTTCAGATTATTTAACTGGAGTCCAAGTGCTTTCCAAACATGTATCATATGTGGTAGATTTGTATCATATGTGGTAGATTTGTATCATATGTGGTAGATTTGTATCATATGTGGTAGATTTGTACCATATGTGGTAGATTTGTATCATATGTGGTAGATTTGTATCATATGTGGTAGATTTGTATCACGATAAGTCTCTTTTGGGTAAACCAGATGTCAGGTCAGGCGGAAAAGAACTATGCTAGTTTTGCTTTTTTTGTGCAGACTGAGTTTTGCTTGACTAAATGCATGCAGCATCCTTTTTTACTCATCAACACGGATATGGAAAACAATTTTGGATTAAAATTTACTTTCCTTGATTTTGGCATTTCTTCTTTTTGGGATTCATGATAGATTGAGATCCAAACAGATCGGTGACTTAACTCTTAACTTTCTTTAGGATAATTTAAAAATTCTACTCCCAAAAATTAAATTTTGGAAGAATTCAAAGTTAAAATTTCTAAAATACTTTTTGTAATCTGTAAGCTATATTTTGACTTACGGGTCCAGAGAGAATAAAACATGGCTACGAATTAAAATCAACAATTTTTTAGGGGCACCCGAATGGTTTAATGCTGAAAGAAAACATAAACAAGAATGAAAATTGAAATCCAACGATCTGTAATCTATTCTATCAATGAATCTAATATTGCATAGATCTTATTTCAGAATATCAGTTTAAATCAACTTGAATCATATCAAATCATATCGTTACAGCACTTAGCCTTGAGGCATCAAAGTTCAAGGCTAGGAGAAAAGTTACTGTTGATGAATTAAATAAAACTACAGACAGGGTTACCCCGACCCAATTGATTAGTTGATTAGTTGACCCAATTGATTAGTTCAAGGCTAGGAGAAAAGTTACTGTTGATGAATTAAATAAAACTACAGACAGGGTTACCCCGACCCAATTGATTAGTTGAGAGAAACTGCACAATGTAGTATCTTCTGAGAAGTAAAAGAATCCCAACTACCTAAAAATCCCTTTTCATTCTAAATTAAAAAGTATCACAAAGTAAAAAAAAAAGTATCACAAAGTAAAAGAAAAGTAGCAAAAGCAAAAAATTAGTTTGATCAACTGGCTGAACGACGCGAGAAGTTGTTGAACTACGTAGATTAAGATTAACCAACATCTATTGATAGCAAAAGAAAAGTGGTTCAAATCTAGTAAATGCCGTACTCAAAAAACTTTGTCCAGAGCCCTCGATTAAAAAAATTCGGGAAAATATGGCTCGGGTCTAAGCTGTCGTTGGGCCTTATTCACAGCTTGAGCATTCGGATTCCAGCTGCATCTTATTATCTACAGAGTTGAGTTCAAAAACCGGTATAGCATTCTTTTTGGTGGATTTTCATGGTAGGAATTGGAGGAATTGGAGCATTCACGGGTTTTATGAGAACAAGACTAAACATTGAGCCTAATTCTCCACTTAAACCAACCAAGGTCTGTTTTATTTTCATGGGGCCTAACTCCTTAAGTCGAGCCGAAGATCTTGCAGCTGTCAATCATGTGACACAAGCTGTAGTCAGAGTTGGGTCTTAAAGTCGGGTTTAAGGAATTACGGCTTGAGCCTAAGTTTTTAATCGCAGGCTCAGAACTGTCTCAATCCAGGCATGATTTCAGCTCACATGTTTCAACGAGAACCAACTATCAATGTCAACACGGACACACGCTCTTAATCAATCAATGTCAAACCAATGGGCACGATCTCAGCTTATATGTTACAATGAGGACCAAATTGCTCTATCACGGTTATCAAAGCGTAGTATATGCTAACTAATTTGTAATTAGATATCTATGTTACAAATTAACGTTAATCAAAGTAATTACAAGTTTTTATGTTGATATATGTACACAGTGTAGTTTAAGTTTAATGTATGTATTTAAAAGATTAGCATGGATATATACGCGTAGTTAAGTCAGTCACTGACGTAGTTATAAGTTAATCACAATACAGGTTTACAGAGGTAGCTAGGCTAAGCTAACCTTACAAGTTTTGTGTAGTGTATGATAGTCGTATTTAGGTTTACAGACAATGAACAACGTAACATATCTAGGTATGATCAGTTTAACAAATATGGGGATTGCTGTATTTATTTATTACACAAATACATTTGGCAATTCCTCAGTCATGGGCAAAATAAATTAGATGAATCTTACAAAGAAATCAAGTATTTACCGCAAACTGAAACTTTCTTATCTCTATATCTTTGCAATAGGACATTGAGTTCGAGAGCAGTCGCATCCTTTATGGGTAACCCNAACAATACATACTAAAGAAAACATAGAGTGTAGTATCTGGATTGAGACAAACTGAAGTATTATAGGTCGGACATTGAGTTTGAGAGGGAGTTGTATCTAAACAATACATACTAAAGAAAACATAGACTATAGTATCTGGATTGAGACAAACTGAAGTATTATAGGTCGGATATTGAGTTTGAGAGCGAGTTGTCTCTGAACAATACGTACTAAAGAATACTGTAAGCATGGAGAAAAAGCGTAGGGTAAAGACGGACATTGAGTTTGAGAGTTAGTTGTATCTGAACGATACATACTAAAGAATACTCTAAGCATGGAGAAAAGGCCTGGGGTAAATATATTTTTTCCTATACTCTTTAGACTTATTCACATCAGTTTCAGGATTTACATTTTCTTTCCTTTCGACCACTTTTAAATGGTAACAATACAGAGAGTGCTGTATCTGGATTGAAACAGACTAAAGTATATTGGAGAATATAGAGTTCGAGAGTTGGTTGTATCTGGATTGATACAGACTTAAAAGAACTATTGGAGTAAGGTTTTTAGTTCAAGCATATAGTCATATAAATATATATGAGCAAAGAGCTTTATGTTATGTAGATTGTGGGATACACTTTATGAAAACTAACTTACCAGGAAGTATTGTATAAAAGAACTGAGTTCTAGTAATATAATAAAGCTCAAAGATATAGGGATTATAAAATCGGAGTTTGTGACATAGAACTCAGTATCTAACCATGATCTTGTGATTCATCATCTACCCTTCATAAGATTTATCTAAATGGAAGGAGGGATTCTTTGCTTTATTTAATATTTTGTTAAAAAATTATAGTTGCACATAACCCAAATGTGAAGAAAGTTTATCGCAATGAAACGCAGTAATAAAACCCGGTTTCAGGAATGGGGTCATCAGACAGTTTTGAAGAAATATAATTTATGTGGTTTCTTTACATTCTCTTTTTGTTTTTTGATTTCTTAAATTAAAATCTTCACAAATACATACACCCCAAAAAAGGAAAATCGGGGATTTCGTTCAACGATAGTACTTTCTTAAATTTTAGGCTCAGAGGTATGTAATGTACTGTACTGTATTGAGATATGTAATGTACTGTACTGTACTGAGGTCTGTAATGTACTGTACTGTACTGAGGTCTGTAATGTACTGTACTGTACTGAGGTCTGTAATGTACTGTACTGTACTGA